AAGGCATTAAACCAGTTCCTGAGGAAACACAAGCTATCAAAAATTATCCTTTGCCTGATTCATTCAAGAAACTACGACGTTTCCTTGGGATGATCAACTTTTACAGACGCTTCATCCCCAAATGTGCAGACTTAGCAAAACCACTAACTGATTTATTAAGGGGACGAGCTAAATCATTAGCAATGACACCGCAAGCAATTCAAGCATTTGATCAGTTGAAAAGCGCTTTAAGCACAGAGGCATTACTCGCACGACGAAAGGTTGATGCACCTTTAGCAATAATGACCGACGCTTCTAACGTAGCAGTAGGTGCTGTACTTCAGCAACGTGTCAATGAACAATGGCAACCCCTTGCATTTTTCTCAAAAAAGCTAAACGCAACGCAAACGAAATATAGCACATTCGGTAGAGAACTGTTGGCTATCTACTTAGCTATCAAACACTTTCGCTACATGTTAGAAGGCAATTCTTTCACGATATATACTGATCACAAACCCCTAACTAAGTCCTTGATGCACAACCATGATAAATATAGTCCGCGCGAAATTCGTCAACTAGAATTCATTTCACAATTTGCAGCTGATATACGCTATATTAAAGGCAATGCAAATGAGGCAGCAGACGCACTATCGAGATTAAATATCAATACCTTCTCCATCCCTGATATAGACTATCAAGAAATGGCAAAGCATCAAAAGGTCGATACGGAGCTACAAAAGCTTTTGCAGTCTAAGGAAACGAAATTATTATTCCAAAACATCCCCATAAACAACAAGGACACCTCAACAGGTAAAACTCGCCCTTTTGTACCTTTCGGTATGAGACGAAATATTTTTGAGAAAAAACAGACAACTGTAAAACCGTCTAAACCTGCAGCAGAGCAAGCACCATTCAAACTACCTGCAACAAGCAACACTTCAAATCAAAGTTCAGCAGCAGCACAAACTACAACAAGATCAGGAAGAAGAGTACATTGGCCAGATAGGTATGTAGCTACCACCATATTTATCTAGACCAAATCCTGAGACTACTCTTATAACACATAAAAATCCTATTTTATTTTGATTACTATTTTTTTTATTGGCCCCACGGATCATCATTATGCTTACATTTTAACTTTATACAATTCATTAATGTTAAATATACACTTGTATATACATGATATGAAACGTTTTAACACACAAGCTGTTATTACAATTTTACGCTTACTCATCATATTGAGTTGTACTTTTATTTTAAAAACAGTTCCGTTCTTTATCTCTTTGTCGAACATAGATGTTAATCCAATTTTTTTTTTTTGGTACATAAAAACATCAATGTTCTGGATGGGAGCTTATGTGGCAAGCCCATTTGGCCACTGTATCATCTGTCTATTCATTGTAACTTAGACTCTTAATTCACTATGTTAATTTCGGTGTGTTTGATCGAATGCGTGTCTGTACATTAACTTTTAAACTATTTTCCTATTGGTTTCAACGTGCAGATAATCGATAATTTATCTACACCCGATTAACCCTCAAATATATATGGATTTTTAACAAACTCACTCACTCTCTCTGTTCCCATCGTGTGCTTGCTCACAATACGCTTGTGGATTATCATTATTCATTAATAATAAACTATCTCCATAACTGGTGTTCAGGCTTCTTAATAATCTCGAGTAAATCCGTAATTCTACTAGGAGATTAAGCCTACCTTAAATACTCAGTTACGGAATATTATTATTTGGAGTCAGATATTAAGGACATTACCCTTAACATATTGGTTAGCTGCCGCCTCAACAATAGAATAAGATATATATCCAGTCCTGTCTAGTTCTAGAAATTCTTTTTATTTGAATATTCTTGAAAACAACTTTAAGTTTAACTCGTAGGCTCCAATTCAGTCATTGTAAAAATGAAGCTTTTGGATCTTGTAAAAATGTACCTGTTTAATATATATATATATATAGTCATCCAACAGATGGTGAAATCCTTTCAAGAAAACATTTTTGGTAAGAAAAAAGTATAATTGGTTAAGTTACGAGATATGGTAAGATGCTGCTTCTGAGTAATCGAGCAAAATTATCTGAGAATAAGAGACACTATGCAGCTATCTAAACCGAAGTAAATAAAGCAGAGTTCTAGTCTGAGACTCAATGATTAGAGCTAATAGCACATCATCATTGCACAACTCTACAATGCAGAATTCTTTTAAATTCGTTGTCAAAAAATAACGTTTTATGAGTAGTAGCAAGTAAATAGTGCTAAAATACGTTAAAACATTAGTTCAGTGTTACTTTATTTTAAATGTTAATCGTGGTGATATCTGCTTTTGATTAAAATCAACCTGAGGAACATTTGCATTTCGGTAGAAGTAAGTAGTTCAGATACAACAATACATAAATGAATCTCCGAAATTTTCTCATAGAATTGGTCATATACCATACAGTATTATTTTCTCATATTAGCATTTTCTTTATAAGGTTACTTTCAATGAATTTCAAAATTTTCCTGAATCCTCATTCAGGCCTTCGGTTTCCACTGCTTCATTCAATGATACTATCTCTAGTTTATGGTGCGAAAATCATTCAAGGTTGTCAAGTTTTTAAAAAACTTATTGGCATAGAAAGATTAATCCATACTATTTTCAAAATATTTAGTTATTCTGATTTTTACGGTTTTCTGTCTTTCAAGTTTTACTCTTGAAAGTCGTAATTATGTATATACTGAAATACCTATTTTTTTTGAGTAACCCTGATTTGTATGTATCAAATATTTTCATCTAATAAATCCAGTTTTTAATTCTATTTAAACATCTACCATTGTATTTACTCGTAAATCATATCCATTGTTTCATTGCAATTGCTACAACTCAGTTGCTCATCATGAAGTTAGATTAAAGGATTTTTGTATCTATAATTAAATGATTGATGTTAAAATGACTAGAATACTTTGATATTATCATTATAAGGCAGTTGCAACAATCAGCAAGCCATACTTATATATTCAATAATTCAAAATTTAAACAAATTTTAAATGTCAACTAATATCAAATTAAATATCTAATCTATTGTTCTTTCTGTTGATCGCTTGAAATATTGTAGTCAGATCTGTATGACCCATCTGATTGGTAAGTCTTATGGTACTTTTAGGTGTTAGTCAAAGAAAGTTAATCTTCAAATATTTTTGAATGTTCAAATATTATCTTGGATATAATATGTAATATGTAAATTGATTATAGTAATACAAATCATCATCAACAACCGGAACTGAAAGAATGTAATATACTTTACAGTGATGCATCACTGACTTGTCAGCTCAGTTATGTTAACATTAGGTAGCTATTTCTTGTGTTAAGATCTTAGAATTATGATTGTTTTTCTTCTTGGTAAAAAGAAATTTTTACGTATACTGGATTATGGACCCTATCATTGTAATTTGATCATTTTATTGACCATCAGTTAGACTGAATTTAATCGTTCCTTCCAAGAAATAAATACATATTTTTTTAAACCTAAAGCATTGAATTTGTCGGTAATTATAATAGTATGTAGAATATATAGACTTTTCGTAACTTATAACCTTGGATACTGTGTTGTGTGCAATAACTGTGTGACTTCATTTTCTTGTGTTGTAGATAGTTGATCTCTAACAACAAACTATGTAAACTAGGGATTTTTTCTTTGTTATTTTGATGAATTTTGTTTCTTTTTCTGTGTTTTGTATTAGTTAAGATGTAAGTGAATTGTTGCATATCCATTCACTAACTCACTAGCTGAGTGGTTGGATTTATAATTTGGAATAATATCTCATAAAATGATATGCATGTGGTAGACACGATAATAAAAATAGATTTATCTCTTCCGTTGTGGTCGATTACATGTTGTTCAGTCTGCAGTGATCTATTCTCGTAAACGTCCCAGCACAACACACTTTAAGATAAAATGGCAGAGTGTGTATGAAACTTCGATGAATCTCTTTAATCAATTATAGTTTACACTTTGTCAACACTAAATAATAACTTATTGTCATTGGATGGGATTCTGATTCTCTATTTTAATACCAGGTTGTAATTTAATAACCTTCAATAAGCTACTGAATGAACACATAATTGTATGTACATAATAAGTGATCTGAAATATTCAACCATCTGTCTCCGGTCACCTCTATGTTAAGAAAATCTAAATTTTCCGCATGGCTTTCTTGATAATCCTGTCTCTCAGTCGTACATTGTAATGCGTATCCGAATCAAAAACATAATTCTAGATATTTAAAGGTGCTTTTCATGCATTTTTACCCAGGAGACTTCTCATAACAGTACCGTTAATCTAACGAAACTGTTCTTTCTAATAACAGAACTTAAGATTGCTACCGCATGAGAGAAATAGCTCAGTTGTATGTTAGAGAAATATTGGTAGTGAACTATATAACGTAATATATTCACATAAAATATTAGCTGTCATAATAATAAACGTACCGTTACGCAAAAAATAGGGAATCCCTGATAGTTAGTATTGACTTATTTGTTTGATGTTTAATCCCTGTTCATTATTCTTACGATCAAACCATGTCGGAAATTAAATATCCATGTAAATTTCAAGTGTTCTCTGTGGGACCTGAAGGTCTACAGTTCGAACGTGGATCCATACATTTGAAGAGTTCCATAACATCTGTTTAGTGCTCCTTCGTTCTCAGTAGTGCTTTAGATGAGACCAATATATAGGTAGTACGACTTCTCAGTGTCCTTCACTACCGCAATATTTTCAAATATTTACCATTGTTTAAGATCAATGTATTTTTCACTGAGAATCCCACATTGTACCAAAAATATAACTTTGAATAAGGCTATCATTTAGTTTGTATTTTCGCCAAACCAAAGTCAAATTCATTAAGTCTACGCTTATTTACATAAGTAAGATATTTTTATCATGTTTCCCAATTTTTACCGGGTTACGTTTCCAGGATGATAGGTGTCTAAAACTGTCCATTAGCTAATTTTATTTTTACTCTGATTATCAGAAAAACAAGATGCAGTTCATGACGATCCTGTGGAATCTCAAGATTTAGTTACTTCGAATTCGACAACAAACTTAACATCGTCATCATTGCGTACGTCAGATCTCAGAAATTCAGAATCAATTAATGGCTTGTCAGTTACTACATCAACGTCAAATGCTGAGTTAGATCTAAGAGATCTTGGGAAACAATTATCAATTGGTGTTACACGTGAGGTGGGTGTGTGGGGTAGTATAATTATGCTTATTTAGGGTTTTGTTGTAAATGGTATTTGTTTGTTCTCCCAGGAATTCTTGTTCTATCTAGCTAGTTCCCCAGAATTATAGAATCCTACCTATTATTTTAATTTGCAACTGTCGTACGGTGGTTTAGTCATGCGTATTGTTAGATTTAAAATAATGCAGTAATCGTGAATCACAATCGGCTAAGCAATATTTTTTGTACATTTAGCTTAAGGTGAGTTCAGTGTAAGCATCGAGTAACATGGTTTTTGAACATACAGTACATACATACGTTAGCAGTATTTGTGCATTGCCCTGATATTGGGAAACCGCTGGGTGGGTAATGTTTAATTCCAATCCAAGGCATGGTATCATCCCATGAAATCGTTGATTAGTAGGTGAAAACATCCTAGTTAGTATCTACATGATGATCGTAATGAATGAAGAAGTGTCGTGATATGGTTCAAAATCAGTGTCATTGACCTAATTGTTTACACTATTTGCCTTAAGTTTCAATTTCTTTTTGTACGTATTTTATCCCACTAATTCATTCCTTCTACTCAAACTGTACACTATGTGTAGTTATTTTTCACTATCTTAGATGATATTATTACTTCGACTTCTTTGCTGCAAATCCTGTTAATTTCATCTCGTTATTTGGCCCTGTGGCGATTGGAGTCAGATGCTACTTTGTTTACAACTATTTGATTGGTTAAAGTATCATGTAATGCACCTTATACCATAGTGTGTCAAAATAATTGAAATACAAAAGAATAAACAAATAAAAAATAAAACCATATTCTCAAATAGAGAAATAGTCGAATAAACTATATTCACAAAGCCCTCTTCAATATAAGTAGGGGATAAAAAGCCCCAACACCGGTGTGGGCTCCTGTCATTCAACTAATGAACATATACTTAGTGATCAAGATTCATAGTATTAATTGTTCTGTTATCGTGTTATCAGATGGGAAATTCAGTGATAATTAATGTAACACGTCTTTAGTAGATCGTAAAGTATCAAATTTAATATCTTGTAATTTCGGACTACTTTGCTGTGATTAATTACCACTAATAACAAATAGCTATCCATTACTTATTGTTATAAGATAATGAATTGATGAATCAGTCTATGCTGGTATAAACCGTTGATTGATAACTCATAAATTTTTACCGAACCAATATCAAAGGGTCTCCTACTGCTTACAAACTCAATTGCACACGTATTTCAATGTTATATAAAATAAACATATTTAAAAGTTATTTAGTAAATAACCAGTTTTAGATCAAAAGACCATGAAAAGCTACAGATTCATCAATCGATTTAGTATCTAAATGTAAAGCTTAATTTATGACTACTATGTCATAACTTTATTTATCTCTTAGTACCTGATTGATTTATACTGAATCATAATAACATGTAACTTTCGCGCTCATTCCCTTTTGACAATGGACCGAATAATGTATAAATTTATTTACCACAAATCCAGTTTCATCTGTTATTTAAATTTGTTTTAGCAGGGAGGATTTGTAGATTTATTTTTTTGGAGACGCTTCAGTTTTATATAACACTAAAATATAAATTGTAATATTTTCTTGTTTTTTTATTTCCTTTAATTAATAATGGATTGTTTAATCACAGTGAAGGTAAAGTAAATGAATGATAAATTATATAATATCTGAATATTGTTACAGAATAAATTTCTATATTAAGGATCCATATGTAGTTATTAGGGTAAATCACAAAATCATTAGTACTTGGGACCAACACTGTTTATACAACATATAATAATTATTAACTTAAATAAATTTTATTGTAAATACTTCACTTGTGTATTTTTTTTTTTATTTCGCACTACATATCTATTTAACGTTCCCCAGGTAAAACTGTCTGCTTATTTTCAATCCCGTTGCTGTACACTAACACATTATTATCAGAAATTATTTGAATTAAAGTTAGTATTCTAGTGGCGTAGTACTGAATCTAACTAATACATACTTGATATTTTTTCACTTGTTTTGTACATTTTGATCTTAACATTTAGGCAGTATAAATGCCACAGTATTTTGTCATTGAATGACTAAAATCAACATAGTATACGAATTTACTTGATATAAATTGTTAGTTATAATAAGTTGATTGATGTGATATATTGGCAAAGAACGTCTGTTAAAGTAACTATTATTTATTTATTTATTTATTTGAACACATAAATATTGGTACAAGAGTGCGCCAAATATATACGCGCCACACAAAACAATAAGAATTCGAAGAGAAAAAAGGTAAGGAGCGTAAAAAAAGAGAACAATAACGAAGAGATTGGTGTAAGGTAGTGTAGTAATAATAATAGTAATAATGAGGGGACGGAAAGGTACAATCAGAAGAAATCTTTCAGTTAAGGGAGACACAACCACTTTTTATGAAGAAAGTAAAAGAAGGTTACAGCAGGATCGCCACTGGCTTCTATTCTGAGCCATATCCGATAACGTCTCTAGCCACTGTGTCGCACCATCTCTCGGACCTCAACCAGGGAGTCGTAAAGGACCGACAGAAGCCAGTCCTTTGCAGCTTTCTTTCATACCACGACACCATGTCATGCACTGACCACCTCTCCGCTTTTTCCAACCAGTCTCAGTCGGCAAATAATGCACGACGTGGAATTCTCTGGGACGATATTCGTAGAACATGTCCAAGCCACCGAAGTCGGTGTTTCAAGATGGTGACATCGATTGCATTATCATCTCTGTGCCCGAACACACGATGCCGAACCTCTGCATTACTGACATGGTGTTGCCACTGGATGTCAGAAATTCTTCGGAGACAGCGATGATCAAACACAGAGAGTCGTCTAACATCCTCAACTCAGAGAGGCCAGGTTTCACAAGCATAGAGCAGAACTGCTCTCACCGACGCGTTGTAGATCCGACCTTTTACAGCCAGACTAACACCACGAAGGCGCCAAAGGTGTCCAGATTGGCATAAGTCGCTCTGGCTTTCACTATACGTGCATTGATCTCATCACTCACGCAACCACCAGCACTTATGTAGCTACCTAGATACACGAACTTTTCGACTACTTCTATCTGCTCACCATCCAGGGTGAGTACAGGATTAGAATTCTGCCAGTCTTGTAGAAGTACTTTGCACTTCGAAGGTGCAAAGCACATGCCATACCTACGGACACTGATTTCCAACTGATTAAGTGCGGATTGCATGTCTTGGGTATTATCGCACAGTAAGACAATATCATCCGCATATTCAAGGTCGAGAATCCTTTCTCCAGACAACAGATCCACACCACCATTACTTACATTCATCAGAGCTGTTTCCAGAATGTCATCGACGGCAAAGTCGAAGAGGAATGGTGAGATTGGGCAACCCTGCCTAACCCCACTGCTCGAATGGAACAATGGAGAGAGGTGGTTGTATGCCCTCACTCTGCCTAAGGTGTTTGTATATAGGGCTTTTAGGATGTTAATAAGCTTCTCAGGCACACCCTTCTTCAATAGACAATCCCACAGAACAGTCCTGTCCAACGAATCGAAGGCAGACCTGATGTCAAGAAACACTACGATTGTTGGCCTTTGATAAGTATGACGGTGTTCTAACATTTGGCGGAGGGTGAAGATATGATCAATACATCCTCGACCAGAACGAAACCCAGCCTGCTTCTCTCGAGTCAATCTTTCTCGGGTTTTAAACAACCTACGAAGTATGACGGAAGCCAATAGCTTGGACGCAATCGGAAGTAGACTTATCCCACGATAGTTGTTACAGAGACGACGTGAACCCTTTTTAAAGATAGGGACAACTATCAACTCATTCCATAACGTTGGTACACTCTCTAGTTCCCATATCTTTGTAAACAACGTCGTCAGTTCCTTAGTCAGAAAGTCACCACCATCTTTAAAAAGAGCCGGAGGTAAGTCATCTGGGCCAGGTGATTTGTAGCGCTTGAAGAGTTGGAGTTCTTTGCGGACTTCCGCCTCATTTGGTGGATCAGTCGCCACCGGCCATGGAGGACAGGACAGTCTGACCGATGTTGCCGGAGCAGCCAGCCAGTTGAACTGCCCATCGTCCAAGACGTCGATGGATGTTAGTGATTGGCATCCCGTCACCCTCGTAGATTGTTTCGCTCACACCAGACTTCTTGCTGCCAGTGGCTTGGATGAGTTGGAAGAGCTTCCGGTAATTACCAGATGCAGCTACTGCTTCCAACTCATTAGCGCGCTCCGACCACTAGGCTTCTCGGTCGTTACGCAAGCTTTGCCCAACTTCATTACGTAACATCCTTCGTTTGTGGTCAAACTCACGGTCACCCGGAGTAGACCGACGGGCTTCAATGAGTTGTAAGGAGCCTGAGGAAGGCCAGTGCTTATAAGCGGGACGTTTCGCGAACCCACAACTGACTGTACCCGCCATTTTGATGGGGTCATGCAATTGCAACCAATGCTCATCTATGCTTTTCGGTGGAATGGTAGCTAGCCTAGAAACTAGCTCGGTTCGATACTTACTTGCAACAGAAGTTGCAACCAGCTTGCTAACATCAATCCGTTGGTGGCGGTCACTTCATTGTCCACTGAAAAGTAAGGCAAGATTGGCGCAGACCAAGGCATGGTCAGAGTCCAGATAGGTACTCCAAAAGGAGCTGAATTCTTGTACACAACCACGCCAGCGGTAGCTGATCGCGATGTGATCAATCTGAGTCCAGGCTTGGGATGCAGAGGGAGGACGCCAGGTGGCACATCGGCGATGACTGTGCCGAAAGTTAGTGCTAGCCAGAAACAGGTTGTGGTCTGTGCACAGTTGCAGTAGACGGTCCCCGTTATCTGACCTGCGACCGGCTAGTACTACAATATCTGTCGAACGCACTTTGTGGAGAAGAACAGATAACTGGTGGTAAAACTCATCCTTGATTGCATCCGAACTGCAATCTGTCGGGGCATAGGCGATGACGAAAATACATCGTTTCTCACGCCGATTTCTCACTTTGATGGGACTTTCTAATCTAACAGCACATAACCGACTGTTAATGAGGATCCAATCGATTAGTGCTGCCTCAGCTCTAGCGCTTAGTGCGACACCAACGCCAGCAAGACCAGACGAAGATGCCACAGGGTCCCTGGATAAACGCACGTAAAACAAGCTTTTCGAAGCGACAGATGGAGAGCGAATTTGTAGTACTTCACCAGAGTCTTGAATACGAGTCTCGGATAGACAGCAAACATCGATATTAAAACTTTCTAAAGACATAGCCAGACCTATCTGTTGTCCAACCTGCATAGGTGTGCGAACGTTGAAGGCAGTCAGTTTGATTGGTGCGTGTGGTTTCAGAAAAACTGCTTCAGTACTCATATTCAGTGGTAACATACAATTTTCAACCGGACAGTGACTCGAAAACGTTTAGATAGAGTCGAATTTCCAACAAAGACGAGCCGTTGTATAAGTATAAAAGAGGGTGAATAGTGTGGTAAATAATAATAGTAATAATAATCATTTGATTGTTAGTTGAAGCAAGTAAAGTAGCTTCCATAATTATGGGCAGTTCATCATATTTGTGTGTGGGCTGTGATACTGCCCGGGTGCCTAGACCGAAGCTGGTGGTTATATTAGGGGGCCACACCCCGAGCCTTTGACCTAAAGGTCTGACCCACAAGGCAGTGGAGCATCGTAAGGAGATGCAGTCCCATGGTAGCCGGTGACCAACGATTGGTTCATACGCCGTTTGTTCCCGCAGGATACTGGAGACAGCCCATGTGCACCATTGGTTTGGGATCCGGTTAAAGGACCGGACATTCGCTTTTCGTCCTCTCATTTTCGTAAACAACACCCCCGCCACGAGAAGGCAATGAGTAGGACTTCCTTGGCAGAGGCTGTATACGCGTGGCCGTGTGAGAGTATTTCGAGAGGGAGAGTGGACTCTCCCCACTCTCGGCCATACCAGGGCATTTGGGGGCGTTGTAGTAACTATTCTAAATTCAGAAGAAAACTATGTAAACTTGCTTGATAAATCATTGGCATAGCTAAGTACTTTTATCTAAATATATATACGATCATAAAAATATGGCATTAAACATTGCATTGCTTGCCCACTTTACGTGATCAACTTGTTCATTCATTTGAAGAAGCCAAGTTAATTTTTCTCACCATGATACCAGACAGAATACTTTTCAAATGCATATTTGATTTCATGTTGCATAATTTTCAAGGTACAACGTCACTGGCCTATTTCATTATTTTAAAAACATAGATTCATTTGGTATTGTTTTGAGTCCCGGAGTGAAAATCAATTCTGAGATGCAGGCACGTCCAGCTGACGAGTCCCGAATAGGACGAAACGTGCGTTCTGGATTCCACTGCTATCCAACGACCATTTTTACTTAAAAAACTTATATTTGTCGTCGAGTAAAACACTGAATAAAAATTACAAGTTCTCAGTTCACACGCTCTTTACGACTTATTCAGCAAATTTCCATCAATACTCGGTCTAGAACATTGATGCGTGTAGTTATTTAATGGGTAATTTGGATAATGCTAAAATATTATTATTTTTTTTAATGAATTTTGTTCACTGATTGACTAATTTGACTCGGTTTTGCAGATGCGATACAGTTCTTTTTTTCTCAATTATGTCAGATGGCACGTGAAATTAAACTGGTAACTATTTATTTGTCTTTGGGTTGTCCAGACCGTATACGTTTTGAATATCAATTTTTCTGCACTAAAGATAAAGGATTACAGAAACAATTGAATTCATCTTACTCCGACTTACTAATTTGTCCACCATTAGATCCAGATGGAGACGGTATAAGTAATGGTTTAAGGCGTCTTTTACATTTGAATGCCAGTGATTATTTACTTCATCGTGATTGGGTTGTAAGTTGACTCATTTCCATGCCCTTAATGATGTTTTTAAATATTATCATATATATCTGACTTGTTTTATATAGTTTTTACGAATAGATTGTCCATTTAAGCCAGCAAAACCATATTTATTTAGCGTAGTAAGATAATGTTACTGCTCTTTCTTTTTGAATTATTTTGTAAAATGAAGTAACGTGTGGAAAAGAATTAATTATTGCATTTCTTCACAATGTTCAGATTTTGAAAACGAATGCTTAAGTTAACTCCTGGTTTTAGTTGAATGGTCGGCTGTCATCAATAAACTTATTAATAATAAATTGTTTTAGTTAGTTACTCATCCTCCAACAAACTTTCGTATGAATTGATTTAGATTATAATCTTAGATCTGTTTTAACCTATTTCATCATCTAATTTAATTCGTTTGTTTATGTAATTCAGTTATATTTAAATAACGTAATCTTCAATTTCAGTCTCGTCATCCTATTCGAAGCAACACGCCAGTCCCTACATCTTTTCATTCTTCTCAAGCTATTCCTAGCGTTAACATCTCAACAGTTGCTACAGTAGCGGCAACTCAAAGCTGCACATCAACATTATTACCAAAAACATTAACTGGAAGTCATCTTTCACAGATATCCGAATTACCTATTATGGTTACAGCTCAACAACCTTCAACAGTGACTACCAGTATTTCAGTAAAGCAACCGACAGTTATGATGTATTCTCAGCCAAATACTATACAGGTTCTTATTAATGGACAGCCATCCATTTTCCAACTGAATTCCACCTTTTCAGCTTCAAATCCAATTATTTCTTCATTATTAACAACAAATAGTTTAATGAAGCCTCCAATAGCTTCAGTTCAAAGTCCAAAATTAGTCTTATTACAACAACCAGTTGGACAAAAAGTTAGTTTAAGTATGAAGCTTGTTTTTCTTAATGTGAAAGCTTAACTGACAGAAGCCACAAATTATATAAGCAGATTTTTACAACACAATTTGAATCCTTGTTTTATCAATGAAGTTTTGACTAGTATTAGAGACGAATGACAGGAAGTTATGGACGGTCAAACCGAAACGCGGCATCAGTCCTTCAAGTCACTAACTTTTAGTCTTAGTCATGTTGGTAGATGCAGACTACATGGTTGGGGTCCACGCAACTATCCTAACCAGTGGTTTGAGTCTGGGTGACATGGTTCAGAATCAATGGCGTAGGTGTATAAACTCTTTGTTTTCTCTTAAACCATGAGATTGAAATCAATTTATTCCTTTCTTTCTACGAACTAATTCTTTATCCCTGTATCCGTATATGCAATCTTTATTTATATATAATACTACCGTTGAAGTAACTGCTTCCATAAATTTTGTGTTCACCTTGTTGTGATAATGAGGTGTGACAACTTGAACCGATGCATATATATGCCTGGTCTTACGTTGTACTTGACTGATTGACTACTCAATAAACTATCAACATGTTGGACTTACCTAGTAAATTAGGCATCCATCTGTTCTTAGTTCGGACTTCACTAGATTTAATACGATCTGCACGAATTACTAATATCGATCGATACTGCTAGTAACAAAAGATTGCATTGTTTTATTATGCCTTTTGTAACACTCCATTATGTTTACATATAATTGTTGTATAACTTAACTAAGCTGTAAATACTTAACAGCAAAGATTAAAATTCATACAATGTCAATTCCATATTCACTGTTTTTATAATGATGTGTGATCGATCACATGAATTTGTGATCCAGTGATGACCGTTCACGAAATTCTAGGTTTTACGCCAAACCCGAATAAATGGATATTAGGAAACAGAACAATCAGCCATTGAAGAAATTTGTATTTATCTTGTAAATTGATATTTATGACCAAAATATTCTTACACTATACATATGTATTTGAACTGTACTTCCAATTTTGGGGTTTATTTCAATCATAGTGATCTGTGTGCAGTATTATTGTCACAGACGCTAAGTTTCCCTCGAATTCTTCCTGATTTCACTATTTGTGCACCAATATTTTCTTTTTCTAATGTATTTAGATACAAGTTCCTATTGTTGAACGACAATTAGACCATGAAAGACAAGTAACTTCAACTGTAGCAATAAGTCAAGGACCATATATCCCATTACTACCGAAACAATCAACTGTACCCATTCAAGTCAGTGTAAAAACATCGACACCATTAACAGGCACTTTTGTATCGTCTAGTTCTATTCCTTCAATGTCCACATGTATGATTGAGAATGAAAATAATTCACCTGTAACTTCATCGTTAGAATCGTTAAAGGCATTTAATGCACGACGTCGAACTAGTATTATATCACAAGTCAACAAACGTTTAACTGAAAATTCGATTCTAACTAAAGAATTACAATCAAAACCATCAACAATTACATCTATTTCAAATAATTTACCTCCATCATACAATACTTCAGCAAATCCTTGTACGACTAAATCTTCAGTTCAATCACTTCAGGTAAGCGTTCCTTTTAAAGTGAATTTTATGTTATATTGAAGTTTTCGGTTCCACGAAAGTGACTAGTAACTTTGATATAATTTTAATTACGAACTGATTTTAGTTGTAAGACAACTGTATGTCGATTATTACGCCTTAGATTAATCACTATTAGACATCGTTAACTTGTTTGATAGTATGATATCTCGAATAACGACTGAGGCTGATATTTAAAATGCACATCCCATTCGTAACTTCTGAGTTGTCTGTGTACCATTTAACTAATCATGTATTATTACAGTTTATAGTAAGAAACTGTTCAGTAGATACATTGATAAGTGATCATTATCTTCGGTGGGTAACTGCGTCATACCTCACACAGTTGATCTCCACTGGTCATAGCTTCTCACTAGAACTGAAAATTACCTCTCGAAGCCAGCCACCATTAAGCACATAATAATTATCATTATAGGATTGTGTAGATTGTTGAATTTCATTGAAGTCATGAACCTATGAATGTTAGATCACCATTGAAAACCCAGAAGCACTGCACAGCCATTTCATCCTAGTATGAGACTCTTTGGTAGTGCATATTCACAATCCCACACGCGGGACTCAAACTCAGTACCTTCGGTTTCGTGCGAACGTGAAGTTGGTTGCTCAGTATCGTGGACTTGTTGAAATATGACATTAAAATTATTGGATCCCGGCTCAGTGTTCTAGAGGTTGAGCGTCCACGCGAGACTGGAGGTACTTGGTCCGAGTCCCGCGTGCGGGATTGTGGATATGCACTACCAAAGAGTCTCATACTAGAACGAAACGGCTGTGCAGTGCTTCTAGGTTTTCAACTGTGGTCTAACATTAATCGATTCATGATTTCAATGAAATTCAACAAACTTCACAACTCTATACTGGTAAATAATTTTTACTGTATTCATCTATATGTACATATATGATCAAATTTACAGGCAATCGATAATCAAACTTTGACAACAATCAAAGGTGATGAAGCATCTGTTAATAATATACATTCTAAATCAATAACACTTTCAACACCATCAAATTCTAATAATTTATGGTCATCCATTAATGTATCGAATAATGAACCGATGGTAACAACATCAATTGTTTTCAATGATCAGTTACCTCAAGTTCATAGCATATCGAGCTTATTATCATCTTCACCAAATTTATCATCATTACAATCTAATAATGTAATGTCTTTTATTTCATTATCTAAAAATTCTTCTAATACAGATGTTAATATGGATGATCTATTGTTAGTCTCAACAGAGACAAATCAATGCTCTATGTCATCATCATCGTTCAGTAATGATACACTGGCATCCCTGTTAAATACATTATGTCCACGTTGTCCTTTATCTTCTACTCATGATAATCAAAATATATTAACTGAATCATCTGCTCGACCTACTGATAGTACTCTATCTCCATTAAATGAATTATCAACGCCAGATTTACATAAAACAACATTCTCTACACCTACAACTAATGATGTAAATGTTTCACTTAAAATAGAAGAGAATGCTGAAAAATCATTTGACTTTAGAACAATTGATTCTGTTTGTAGTTATCCACCAGTTTCTCCGTCAATTGGTGATATTTCATTTACTGATTCAATGGCTGGTAAGTGAAAGTTCACTCATATTTGCTATGTTTGTAAAGTAGTGTCAAAAATCAAAACTTCTATGACTGAATTACCAAGTTTATATATTCCTGTCAGTAAATAATCCTTTATTTGATAAAGTTTACTAGATATCCTTAATATAAGTGGTTATAGGGTTCGGTATTATGTCATTGGCTTACAGAGTTAAACTATGTGACACCTACTTTGATTTGATAAGTTGAGTAGTATCACTAGCCCTCCTATAGAATATCTTGTCCAAAGCTAAATACGTAAATCCGTACTTCGTAAATGAATTAGATCGAAAAATAGAACAACTACTGGATATACTTCACTGTGATTATGTAGAGAATGATTCTGTCATTTCAACTAATTAAATTTTTTCTTATAGATTAATAACCTATTACTATAAAATATATTTATATCTATGTACTTGTATGAAGCAAGTATGTCTAGATTATTTTATTGAATGTTATCGATAGAATCCTTTCATTTGTACAATTTCATCGGTGATTTTTCTGGTTTACGTGATGCGATGATTTTACAATCTTAACTAGTTCCTACCTTCATGTCTTCAAGTGACTATTATAAGTGTTGTGAACGCCCTAACAAAGTTGTGGTTGTTCATTTTACTATTTATTTTCATGAAAGTCCCTGTAAAGTTGATTACTGGCTAAAATAATTATGCTTAGTTTTTTTTTTACTTGCCATTCAGTTTCCTGATATAAGTTCAAAATCATTGCACCATGTCCTAATTGATATAGTGAAGGAATATGGACTAAATTTTACTTATTCATTAGGAAATTATCTTTTTTGAATATTGGTATATATATATATATATCTTTTAATTTCGTTAAGGTTCTTTATTTGTTTGTAAACATTATGAAAATTTGAATACTCATGTTTTATTGCAACTGTAAATGAATTATCTTCAACTTATATCTATGTTAACTTCTGAGCAATATGAAACCTATTTCTGATTACTGCAAGTCCCATATTAACTGTAATATTATACACACTTGTTACTTCAAACCAAGTAGCTAATCTCGCCCTCATTTGTCGTCTTAGTTCATTTAAATATCTACAGATTTTTATTAGGACATTTTTATTCAACCATAGGTTTATAAAAATGACCGAATTTATATTATCATGCCATTTTTTACATATTGTATCCACCCATAAGTTAGTATGCTTTTACTTCCACCTTTTATAACGTATGTATCTGAGTCCAAAGAAAGATTGAAATTATCCCTTCCTCAGAAATGCCTACTTTATTATTGACAAAAATAAAATAAAACCAATTTCATTTTAAATCATAATATTTCCTCGTAGGGTATTATTGACCTCGGCAAAGTTTTCAAAGTACTTATAGATTCAAAAAGATTCCTCAGTGTATATTACATTCCCTCTTCTCCAACGTTAATAGACCAATATAAACTGTCACTAATTTCAGCAAGTTTTGAGACATTCCATGATTTTTGTGTTGTCTGTTTGACGCTATTGGTCCGTTATGTATTTTTAGTATGGTATTTTTGCAACGCTTCCCAAGGATAGTTTTATGCTGTATATATACGTTTGATTTGTGTCTGTTACTATCCACTCGTGCTTCTGGTCTACGTAATATACTTTCCCGTTCCAGGCTTGGACTCTTCCTCCCAGATTTTAGCTAAAAATTTAGTCAACCTAATCGATAAATTGGACCACCGTCCCTAAAGACCTCTGGAGCTATTCCATCTGGACCAGCTGCTCTTTCTCGTTTGAGAATAGCTATAACCTTTTTTGGGATACTCAGAAAAATATCCCCAAAACAATTATCCGGTTAAGTCTAACTCTACCCTTGAACGTTAAATGGTGTCATTTCCCTACTGGTCGTTTCCCTACTGATCAATATTCATTTCGCGTGTCATTTTCCTATTGGTCAATATTATTTAACGTGTCATCTTTCTGTTGGTCAATATTTATAGTAATCCTAACTGTATAAATATGCATTTGTTTGTAAATCATTATTCTGCTGCTCCTGACCCCATAAACGATTTTTCATCTACGGTTCGTGTTCTGATATATTGGAGATTGGGAACAGTATTGGGGTCGAACTGGGATATCTGAAGCTTGTCAATCGATAGAATTTAGAGTAGCCAACTCGCGATTCACAATACCTTTCAAACTTCAGACAGAGTTGGGGGACCTACTTCAATATTCCATTCACGCTGTCTGGGAATGGTGGGTAGATGTAGAGTAGCTGTAGGCCAGCTAAACTGTTCCGTCCATCGTTCTAAACGTTTCGGCTGATAAGAGTGTCGTCTTTCTCACATTTGACTTATTAATTCCAGTTTCTGCGCGGCAGTTCGTTGTGTTCTACTTTACGGCTGTGAAACGTGGCCATTAAGAGTAGAAGATACTCATAGGCTACTAGTTTTTGACGACGCATACCTTGGAAATATTGCTCGCATCTGCTGGGATCATCGGGTAAGTTATGGTGAGGTTAGACGCAGGATATTAGGGAATGATGGTAAATCAATTGATGAGGTTGTGAATCTTCATCGACTGAGATGGTTGGGCCACGTGTTTCTTATGCCTGAACACTGATTATCACGACGCGCAATGCTGTCTGGTGTCCGAAATGGTTGGAAGAAAGTTAGGGGCGGCCAAACCAAAACGTGGCACCAGTGCTTGAAGTCACCAACTTCTAGTCTGAGGCATGTTGTTAGATGCAGACTACTTGGTTGGGGTCCGCGTGACTATCGTAAACAATGGCTGGAGACTGGGTGACATGGCTTAGAATTCATCATAATGGTGTAGATGTATTCGCCCTTTATCTTCCCTTAAACTATGAGATTAAAATTACTTTATACCTTTCTTTCTATGAACTAATTCTTCTTTCCTGTACTATATCCTCATATACAATCCTTGTTTTATATATTACCACCATTGAATTAGCTACATTATGAATCCGGTGTTCATCATTTGCTATTGAGTTGTGGCATCTTGGACCGATGCACATATGTGCCTGGTCCTACGTTGTAGCTGACTGGCTCATCCTATTTCTAATGATATTTTCTTGAAGATGACAAAATTCGAAAACGGAATTTTCAGACGTGTTATCGGGATTTACTTAGAGTATGTCTTTCATAAGATACCTCAATTTTCTCAAAGACTACTCACCAACTTTACGCTCACAAGCAGTATTCTATGCGTTTTCTTAAGACCTTAGTTCTTTATAAACTAGATATTTGAAAGTTTGATATCAGTTCTCCGGTGTTTTTAAACTTCCTTATATAGTTTGACGTTTATCTCATTTTTTCATGATAGCTGCTGTAATGGATGTGCACCATATGGAGTTAGATCATTCTGATGGAGAGCAGAGTACCGATGTTCACTCTGAACCGTTAAATCTTATAGCTTCAAATCTTATTATTCAACCTGATGTTTATCCAATAAGACCGTCATATGAATCTGTAAGTTCTATTCTATTTTCTGTACATAATGATATTTTTCAATATCCAAAGGGGTGTACAATGTTAAATTGTTATTTCTATATGATTCGCCTTTTTTATAACGGAAAACTGGAAAGCACTTCTTGACGATCTATCAACGCAATATAGAATTTTCATGATTTTATTGACTCAAAATGAGTATATACAAAAGCAGTAGATTCATTTCGGTGACCAGTTTGTACTCATATAAATCACATTACTAATTAATTAGTATTATATTTATTAGAAAGTTGTACACATGAGAAAATGAAATTAATCACATGAACATAGACATATGTTCAATGGAAAACCGCATTCAAAAGTATCTAAGTTACGATACTTTATAACAGCATATATAGAAGAAATAAACAAAAGTAGTAGAAAAACTAAACTAAACAAACACAAGTTCGCGGAATTAAATAATTGATAAGTTACGTATTCGGAATTTAGAAAACAAAGGTTGTACGTCTACAATTATCGACTTCCCAAGTCATCTCTACTTTTATACTTCAATTACTTTTATCAACGGAGTATACGCTTACGACTCCAGATCAATAGTCTGTGACCTTTTCTGTAACAGTTCTACCATTTAAACCCGATCCTACCTTCAAGTAGTGATGCATGCTCGCCCTAATCGGAGAGGATTACAACTTCATCAGGATTACTTACACTTTCCACGGTATGCGCAACCGCGAAAAGTCACGGTGGCAGTGATACCTTTTGAAGGTACCATAAATCCTCTCTCTCTCTCTCTCTTATTAGTCCTCCTACCCCCACAACGAATGCTCCTCATACATCTCTATCAGCACGCGTCAAACTATATACTGGCTTACAATGTTCGAACATTGTGTCAGATACGACGTCACGCTTCCTTAGTCAACACTCTCGAATCTCGCACCAACCATTTATACTACGTCTCCGAAACGCGAATTCACAATCCAAACACAGTCAGTCACTTGACTTCACCTTGTCAATGCAAAGAACCAGGGCGGTTTACACTTAGTGAATAAACTGGAGAAATTTAACCACTAGAACGATCAGAATCTGTAGCGATGTAGAGCTATTAAGTTTTTTTGAATTCGGCTGGTTAAGTGAATCAAATATTCAATACGTTCTAATCCAATTGTTGGCAGATAACATTGGCAATTTTTTTAACCCCCGACAACGGCTCTAAACCGTAAATAATGGTTCGTAAATTATTGTATTCTTTTTCCGTTTCTAGCTTGTGGAACATGATGATATTAAAACTAGAGGTATTAGTAGATCTGAATATAATTGCATAACAAATGTTGAAGTATTCCTTCGAATGAATACACCACAATCCAGAAGAAATTCAGTTGGTCTCAATTCAACGTTGCAAATTCCGACTACTTCATCTAGTTGAGAAACTTATCAACAAGCGACAGCGAAATTGTTTTGCCAAACAACTTTTTGCATTTTAAGGTCGTATGGCGGCATTTAAAAAATAGTCGCTAAATACATATTATGAATGTTGAACAATTACCCGTTAATTAGCTGATCAATGTGAATACTGACATGAACCACCGATTTTATGTACAATAATGATATTTTGAATGGTTGAAATTTCCAATATATTGTTCTTTTTAAGTGTCTACGTTATCATATGCATTGACAATATTTCTGCAATCCCATTTGAAACGCAAATGTATAGAACAAGGCTTGGAAGCTTCATTGTAATATTAGTTACAAAATTATTCGTCACTTACATTGGAGCTTGTAAACTTATTAGGTCTACAATAAACAATAGTTTTGTCAGCACCTATTATGTCTTAAGATGGAATTTAAAATAAGTAGTTTAGTTTGCGTGCAAGAGTGAGGTTGCACGACTGGTACCCACCTAAATAGACACATTATTCAGATTTTAAACGGACGCCTCAGTAAATGCAATCCGATGCATGTATCTTCTTGTCAGATCATACCAAGACATTCGTAACAGTGCACGGAGAAAAAAAAAGAAAATCTTTAGTAATTAATATTTTTATGAAGTAGCGTATTATATTTGAATTGATAAACAACCATAACTAGGATAACGATCAAGTTTATCAACGAAGCTACATATAACTTGGGCTGTGAGCACATATAATAAAGAACCAGGTGTATCTTAAACAATCTCAGTAAATACATGTTGATTATGTAGTGTCGCTGATGTTGAGCTCCAAACTTTTGATATACAGGACTTATTAATGAATATCTACCATAAGGCGTTTGACGCCCCACCCGGAGGTTGTTTAGTTCGAATCCCCGTGCGAATCGGACGACTGTCGTCGTACTGAGCGCCTAAAAAGATGTCAAAAGTCGAATATAACACCTCACAAGAAATGAAAAGTCCAAAAACCAATAAAGTAGCCAGAACGTTACCTCACCAACTTTAAATACGCAGTCGCAGATGTAAGCAAAAAAGAGTATTTTCCTTATTGAATCAACTGACAATAAACTATGATTTTAGTGCCTGAAGTTTTAAGTTAATATAAATAGAATTTTTCTCTACTCAATAGTCTTTCATATATATTTTGTTAGTCATACATTAACGTGAGTATGCTAAAAGTAGATGGGTCTTAAATCTTTGTAGTTTCGATATTTCAGTTAGCTACATTGTAGTAAACGAGTACACCAGGCGGGACAACCAAATCTAAAATCATCACTTTTGATAGATGATACATACTACTTGTGTCTGTCGACATTAGTAGCACACACCACAACATAATTGTTCGTAGTAAACGAAATCGTCGAGGAAAATTTCCTCCGTTCAAACGTCTTGACATTATGGTATTATCCATGTAACCAATATTTATTTAAACAAAATGAAGACGGTTCAGCAAAGAAACTCCTTTCGAAGATGTTATCTATTAGTTTTGTACAATTATGTTTATATTTAGTTTTACACAATAAAATAGAGTTGTTACGTCATGCAACAAAGTTATCACCAATGGTGAAACGTTCTCATCTGTAAGACTATTATATAATTTATACTCGATACTTGATACATAAAGACTAGAAAATATATAACACTAGAGATATTACAATGCAATCTTTCTAATCGTCGTATATGTGCATGTAATATAGTATTCCACTAAATATGTGACTAATAGTTTTATTTGGCTATTTCACTAGTTCAACTGAAATTGAAATTTTACAAACCTGAGTTGAATCTTGTTTCTAACGCGGTTCACATGGCTATCTCTAGCTCTTAATTGTTTAACTCAGCCAACAGCATCACATCATGCACTTCACTATCCCAATATTACAGCCTATAACACTAATTCTTTGAAGGTGCTACTAGACACAATGGCGTCAGTCACAAACTGGACCTTGCAGTTACAATGGTAAATTATGATTGATAGAGTTGAATCAAGTAATTTTTCAAAGGTTTGCAGATAGACTGATCACACATTTCATAGTGTATTAACATAAATTGACGCTTTACAACAATTATTTGTGACTTGATGGTTTGTATTTGATATTTCGACCATCAAGTCAAGGATTTGGATTTATGCTAGACTTTTCAGGCTAAGTAATAGTATGCGTGACAACGATATTACACGTTAAAGAGCTTTGTATTCAGGCTTTTAGATAACTACTTGACTGTTCCTTACTCTAATTTTAGTGATTTGTATGATCATCAAGCATTAATTCACTTAACGTGTGAGTCATATTAATATGGGACTACATGGTAGCTTTTAGAATCGGATATATGCATAGGACTTGATCAGTTTATTCATCAGATCAACAAATAACCCAATGATTTATGGACCATATTCGGTTTACCGCTTATATAATTTCACACCTCGAATGAGCAATATCAAGATAACAGCGAATCGCAGTTGTTCATTCTGCGAATTTCCTAATCTCTGACTCTGTGTTCTAGATCATAATCTTTTGGGCCAAGGAGATACCCAAATACGACATGAACTTGCCGTCTGAGTCTTAAAATATTACTTTCTCAAGTAGTTTACCGTTCGTAATTATTACTATAAATTTCAATTTTACTCCCATCAATCAGCCTAATCACTTTTAGTTGTTTCATGAATAGCTCAACATAAATGTTACACTTCCTTGCCTGTTATAAAACTGAAACGAATAACGTTTAAGGATAATTCTATGAGTGGAATGTCTTCTAAATAAACCTACCACTCAGAGAGAAACTGGATTCCTGCATATTCCGACCACCCGAACGTGTAGGTGAACGAGGGCGCAAGCCATCAGCATCAGACCCCACTGAGACTTTTTCTGTACCATTATTGACGATGGAATCTTTCATTGGAATAGTGAATTCTGTGGACACAGGACCAGTATACGAATCACGAATTATAGGTTTGACTGAACGCATCTAGAGAAAGTATTAGTAAAAAATAATCAGTGGATAGTCAGTCAACAACGTAGAACTTCATACGTACGTACATCAGTTCGAGTTGCCTTACCATATTAGCACAAAGATACAATTGTCGATTAAAATCCCACAGTGGTAGAGGCAGTAAAAGTTTAAGTAGTAATGGGAAACATTAGAGTTTGAAGGTGTTATTCAAGGAGTATAATCCAGTAAAATAAATTTGGAACGAGAAAAAAGGACATGAAGAATTTAGGAGAACACAAAGAGTAGATGCACCTGCACCATTGCAAACAATTTTGAGCCATGTCATTTATGTTCTCTAAACATCGGTTGCTATCGTCTCGTGGATCCCAACCAGGTAGTCTACACCTACCAAAATGGCTCAGTCCACTTGTCAGTGACTTCATGGACTTGTGCCATGTTTTGGTCTGGCCGCCCCTAGCTTTCTTCCAACCTATTCCTATACCACTGAACATCGCACGTCGAGGCAGTCGGTCGTTGGGCATACGTAACACGTGTCCCAGCCATCTCAACTGATGAAGTTTCACCACTTCATCAATTGGTTTGCCATCCTTACCTAGTACCAGTTTCCTAACAACTGCGTTACTTACTCGATGGTCCCAGGATATACGAGCAATATTTCGAAGACACCTATGGTCAAATACTAGTAACCTACGGATATCCTCTATTCTTACCGGCCATGTTTCACTGCCATAAAGTAGGACGGAACGAACTGCTGCGCAGTAAACACGTCCTTTGGTTGATAGACGGATATCTCGCCTACGCCATATATGACGCAAGTTGGCAAAAGCTAGTTCAGCCTCCTATATACGTGCTGAGACTTCGTCACACACCAGACCACAAGGGTTGATGAGACTCCCAGAATAACTGCAGCGGTCGACATGCTCAACTACTTCACTACCTATCATTAGTTTGGGTGTCGAAGCAAACCAATCCTAAAGCAACATTTTACATTTCGAGGGCGAGAATCGCATCCCGAACATGCCTGCATTGTTGCTTAGAGTGGTCAGAAGACTCTGCATTTTATCGGCATCTTCACCAAATAGAACTATGTCATCGGCATATTCCAAGTCAACAAGTGAATCTCCTGGTAGAAGTTCAACCCCTGGAAATTTAGATGAGGAAAGTGTTACCTCTAAAAGTACGTTGACGACAAAGTTGAACAAGAATGGAGAGAGTGGACAGCCCCGACGAACACCACTTGAGGTAATCAATTCTGATGACAGTTCGCCATAAGCTCTCACTCTACCAGTTGTGTTCGAGTAGAGAGCATTTATAAGTTAATGTTCTTCTTTGGTACTCCTTTCAGTGACAAACACTGCCATAGTACCTTACGATCAACAGAGTCGAATGCCGCCTTAAGGTCGAGAAATACTACGATTTTGAGGCATCTGAATGTGTGTCTATGTTCTAGTATCTGATCTATACAACCACGTTCAGGTCGGAAACCAGCCTGGTTTTCTCTAGTCTGCTTTGGTTAGGCATCGATGTATTATTAAAGCTAATATTTTAGAAACTATATTAGTCAAACTGATTCCTCTGTGATTGTCACAAGAGGATTTTGTCCTTTTTTATAGACTGGCACAATCAGTGATTGAGACCAGTCAGATGGGATTGCGTCCAGTTCCCAAATTGTACCTAAGACCTCAGTTAATCTCACTGCTAATATTGGACCACCATCCTTAAATCTCAGGAGTAAACCTGTCAGGGCCTGCTGCTCTCCCTCGCTTCAGATTTCCTGTAGCTTTTCCAACTTCGTAAAGAGTCGGAGGACCTAAATTAACTTGCCATTCAGGTTGACTGGAGATCGTGAGTAACCGAAGTGTGGCTGAAAGCCAGTTGAACTGATCCCTAAAGTGTTCTGCCCATCGATCCAATCTCCTGGATTGAGAATGTATAATATGTCCATCATTCTCTGAGAGTGTTTCGCTGACAGTCGGGTTCCTAGTACCGGTTTCCTTAACGAGTTTGAACAATTATCTGCTATTACCTATTGCCGCTGCCTTTTCCATCTCTCTTGCTTTCGCTACCCACCACTGTTCGCGATCATTGCGTAGGCTTCTGGTCAGCTTGCGCTTAAGCTTACTCCGCTCTTCGTTATGTTCAGAGCCATATGGAATGAGTTTTCAAGCATCTATTAGTGCGGTAGATGCTGCTGAGATCCAGCTTTTCGGATGTCATTCCACGCTTCCCCGGGGTAAGCAACACTTACATGGCTGCCTAACTGTTTTTCTAATTGTTCCTGAAATATATTCTTAGCTTGACTACCATGAAGTAGAACCCTAATAGGTTTCCTTGCAGCGTCTTTCCTACGTCCAATAAGGCACAAACAAATACGCGCTTGAGCATGGTCTGAATCTAAGCATGTGCTACAGAACAAGCGACAGTCTTCTATCGAGCCCCTCCATCGGTGGCTGATAGCGATGTGATCTATTTGGGTCCAACGTTGGCGCTAATTCGGGGGTTGCCATGTCAAAAATGTTTTTCCTTATGCTTAAAGTTAATGTTTGCAAGAAACAGGCGATTATCTGAGCATAGCTGTAAGAGACAGTCTCCATTATCTGTTCTTTGAGTTACGATAATATAAGATCCACCCAGGTGTCGCTTAGTTTACCTACTTGAGCATTAAAGTCACCA